TAGTCGGGGCTAAAACACAAAGTGGTGGGGTGCTGTCGAGGGTGTGGTCCATCAATTACCGGCGAGGACTTAGTATGGATGTGGGTGGGGGGGCTTGGGGTTTTTTTTAGGGGGGGGGGGGGGGGGTTGGAAGGCGAGGGAGAGGGTTGCGGCGGCGTGGGGGGTGGCGGCTGGCGGCGAGGGTGGAAGGGGGGGGGGAGGGTGACGGCGAGGGTGGAAGGCGGGGGAGAGGGTGTCGGCGCGGCGAGGGGGGGTGCGTGGCACCGATCTGCCCGGAGCCGTCTGCGTCGATGTCGGTGATCATCTTGCGGAGCTCCTCCTTCTTCACCTCGAAGCCCAGCGCGCGCATCGCAGCCTGGCGGGGGGAGAGATGGGGAGAGATGGTAGGGAGAGATGGGGGGATGGGGAGAGATGGGGAGAGATGGGGAGAGATGAAGATGATGAGAGATGGGGAGAGATGGGGAGATCTGGGGAGATATTGCGCAGTCTGGCGAGGGGAGGGCGGAGTGTGTGGCTGGCGGAGGGGCGGGAGGAGGGGCGGGGCGGGGCGGGGAGAGGCGCAGGGGAGGCGGAGGGCCCCGAAGGCGGAGAGGGGAGAGGAGAGGGAGAGGGAGAAGGGTAGGGTGGGGTGGGGCGGGGGGTGGGGGGTGGGGGGGGGGAAGAGACAGGGCAGCCGGCAGCAGGGTTCTACGACGGGAGGAACATGCGTGCGGCAGGCAGCGGCGGGGCGCGGCTCGGCGTGGCATGCGGCGCTCGGTGCGTTAATCCGCCGGCGGCGGCGGCTGGGCGGCGGTTGCGCTGCGCGGAGCAGAGACCGTCGAGCGTTGCAGTGCAGAGCAAGGCAAAGGCGGGGCGGGCGGGGCTGCGCATCCACGGCTGGGAGCCATCCGACGCGGAGCGAGCGCCCGGGCCAGCCAGGGACGGCGCGTGCTCGGTTGAGAGAGGGAGTGGGAGGAGGGGTGCGGCGCGTGTTTGATGGTGGCGCAGCGGCGCGCCTTGAGCTCGCGGTAGTCAATGGAGCCGGAGTGGTCGGTGTCAAAGAGGTTGAAGGCCTCGCGGATCTCCTCGATCTGCTCCTCAGTCAGGCCGGGCTTCTTCGTCTTGCGCGCGGGAGTACGACGCATCGCCATCTCGTCTCTGCTCTGCGACACAGCGCGGCGGCGCGTCAGGCCTGCATGCTGCCTATCCCGGTCGGTGAGAAACGCGGCCGCGGTGTGCGCGCGGAAACGGGGACGCCGCGGGCGCGCGAAGAGAAGGAATTCCCGGGGACGGAGAGGCGTGAGGCAGGCGTGATGAAGCGCACGCTGCTCCTCAACGCTTAGCACGCCCCTCGCCGTTTCGCGCCCGCGATTTTGCTGTGAACAAGGGTGACCCACACGCTTTTCTTTTTCTCCATCTGTCCCTCGTTTTCAAGCCCGGACTGCACCAGCGCGGTGTCGGAGGATGTTTTCTCATGTTTTCGGCGGGCGCTTTCTGCTCCCCCCTGCGCAACGACACCACACACATGCCGTCAGCTGTCGTGCAGGCCGTGATCTCGGAGCTCTCGGGGCCCGCGATGGTGACGGCCGGATGGACGCTGCTCGGGATGAACTTCATGCCAATGGGCCCGACGGCGGGCATGGTAGGAGCGTGCGAGCCGCAGAAGACGTGGGGCAACCGCACCTTTTTGAACATGATGGAGCATGCCCCGCTCTTCCTGTCGTCGTTGTGGGTGTTCGCAATCTTCGTCTCCGCTGAGGAGGCGACGAAGATCGGCACGACCTACATCGCCCTCCGCAGCCTCTACCCGGTCATCTGGGCGGCCTTTGGTGGGGCAAACGGCGCGCCGATGCAGCCCTACACGTGGTTCCTCTTTGGCAAGGGAATGAATCTCTTCTACGTCACGTTTCCCCAGTACGGCTGCGTCTTCTACATGGCCTTGGCGACCCTGCTCAAGCTCGGCTTGGCCATCGACCTCAACTCCATTGTGGGTGTCCCCGCGCTGGCCGCGCCGCTCGGCTTCGGCCTCTTCCTCTACCACTTCGCACTCGGAGGCTTTCCATACCTGCAGAAGGCGGTCGCGCCGCTGTTTGGCAAGTGAGCGATGAGGTGGGGTGCGCATGTGCGAAGACCGAAGTTGGCCGATGGCCACGAATGTGTGGATTCGCGTGGCGGGGGCGGGGGCGCGGGGGGGGGGGGGGGGCCCGGCGGTGCCAAAAGCGCACCGCTCTCTCCTCACCAGGGGGAGGTCACCCCCGGGGGGCTGGGATAAAGGCTGGTCTTAAGAGTGGGGACGGGTTGCGCGTTACACCGCTACACACACCTGGGCGGGTACGGCTTTTTTCCTACACAGGTCACAGCGCAACACACCGAAAACGACTCTCCACCCGCCTCCAGTCGCAAATGGGACGGG